ATCACAATCTTGGTTTCAATCACCATAGAAATGCCTCCTTTGTCCATCTTCTAATGCAAATTTTCCCTTTCTTTCATAACTCGGCTATTCTTGTTTTCTTGGAAATTGTACTTTTTATGATTAATTAGTAATAAGACTTTGTGTTGTCCAATTCAGTCTGTAATCATACTTGAGATAAACAAATACAGTTTTGATATCACTCATATGATTACAGACAAAATTGAACTCCACTCAGTCCTAGTACCATAAATAATGAAAGGTAACCACTAGTGGTAGACTTGCTGGCTTCTGTTCTGCCTGCTTTTTTAATTTTTTTAATATTAGCTCAAAGAATTCTTTAGTTATTAAATATCCCATGGTTGATATTTCCCTTTCTGTTGGTCACCTCTCTGCATGAAAATTGATTGACAAAGTGAGGAGTAATTCTATTTTTGTTATTCCTCCCTGTGAAAGGGCTAACCCACCTATACTGACAAGAAAGTCATCTGATCCAAATACTAAAGCCTCAAATCTGAATGGTCTGTCAGTTGATGTGCCATGTTCACAGACAGCACGGAGATTAAGGAGACTAAGAGCACTTTCAACTTGGGTGATAAGCCCCAGTTTTTTGTCTGCGCTTGGCTTCATTATGGAGGACACTTTGTCACTTAACTGAAAGTTGAAAAAAAAAAATTCAAAGATACAATTCTTGATAAATAAACCTGACAAAAACTTACGAAGTATATTGATTAGGTGTTTGTGAGGCTGAACCAACCATCAACAAAGGTCAACCAAACTGAAGGTAACTATAATTGTAATGAAAAAAATTCACCCCAAGTAAACAGATACAAGCTGTCTCATTCATGGGGAAATAGTGATCAAGTCAATAACGATTTTGGATTTTTATCCAGTGAGTGGCTAAAAGAGTTTGATCAGTTTTCTTGATCAAACACAGGTACACCTACTTGAATTCTTTAGAATACTACAGCAGTGTTCTCCTTTTCAAGCGGTAATCAGTACAATTCACTGCCCATAGTACCTGTGCCTCTTATTACTACCTAAAAACCACTTGGAATTCAGTAAAACCATAAAAGGACTGCTCAACAGGTTTCAAAATGGCATGTTTAAAATAATGGTCTGAAAAAACTGCAACTGTCAAGTATTATACATGGTTATGGTTATGGCGCTTATCATATATCATGAACTGGAAAATTCTTCCTCTACAACACATAATTTACTTGCTGAATTTCAATGGCCTAGGCAATTCATTCAGACATAAAGGGCATTTTCTTAGAAGTAGACACTTTTCTCTTGCATAACTTAGCTAAAACTCTGATATTAAAATGCTCTTCAGGAATAAATTCTAAAATTACCCAATCTAAATGCTCTACAGTCTCTACTTTGGGTACCACAATAGAGTCAGGCAGTTCCTTTGCTGTCAAAGCTGCTTTCAAATCATCTTCTGCTAAACCAGTCTCAATGGAATTAATACGAACACACACTTCGCTGGAACCAAATTTCAGTTGACCAAGTATGTTGTGGATAGTATTCCTTGCTTCTTCCTGTGATAAATGATAGATTTATGAAACTGCCTACTTTTCTCTTTTGAGCGATTGTTTAAATATTTGAAGATCATCCCAATTTACAGTTTATTCAATCAGCATAAACAAGATGTATACAACATTTCCCAAATGAAAAAAAAAAACCCAGTAGATTTATAATATTCAGTGAGTGAGGGGGGAAAGGGAGGCCACTTTGACCAATAGTCTTTGTTGTGATGGCACTCAACCACGTGTAAAAGCAGTCAGAATGCAATATTCACCAGAGGGACATCCCTGATCTTCAAGAGAATTTTCTTTTATTCAGTATGTAACTCCTATGATTGGCAAAGAGTTCATTTTAAAATAGAAAATTCATTTTATTCAAACCTAAGCTTCATTGACACTTTCTCCCCTTACTCCCACCCCCTTGTTGAAAGAGGGTTTTCCATCCTTCTCTGAAGACAGAGATTGTTGGGAGTGAAACTAGCACTCAAATTTGAAAATGCAACTGTTCTATTCACGTGAAGTTCAATACTTAATGATCATCCCTACCATTTAATTCCCCGAGTATCTTGTAAACCTTAAGCTTTTTTCGCTTCATTTTAACCAATTGTACCTTCTTGTTGGACGCTACTCCATCCTCACAGTCCAACACCACACAGTCAGAGTTCAAACCAGTCGCTTTTGATACTTTTCGTTCCTCGTTTCCTGGGATGTAAAGAAACGATCTTCTTGGAATCTGACCTTTCACACTACTCAGCTTTCTTGATAAAAGTAAATTCCTGAGGTGGTTGTTTTTTAAAATAATTTTGCACGACTTCCCTCTTCCAAACATCTTTGTCGTGTGGACTAGTTACCAGCTCTCCTCTCATTTTGCTTTCTACTCGAAGCGGAATGTTGGGGAGGGGAAAGGTAAAGGTTAGGGGTGTCGTATCCAGATTTTGTCGAGCATCGACCTGTCAGAATCTCTAGTTAGATTCCAGATTCCTAACGAAGGAGAGTACTCATGGAAACATACACAGCAACAAATGTCTCTGTTGAGGACCTCAAGAACTGCTTTCCCTTACTCACGCAAAGGGCAACTTTCTGCAGTGTGCTACAATATATCCTTCTAACAAAGTTGTGCTCTAATTTATAATGGGAATGGTACGCGTCTAAGCTCGTACTTCCAGCCGATCTGCCACAAGATCTTACCCAGCATGCAAGGAGAGGAGAATGTTGGAACGCAACATTCTCTACCAGTGTTAGCTGCTCATCTTTACATAATTTTTTACTCATTTCATTAATTCTCTAATAGACAACTACAAAGATGTAGTGGCCCTGAACTTAGGAGACTTTGAAAAACTGGATCTTGAGAGTTCAAGAATAAACCCTTTACACCCTAATATCAGTATGCATATTCTCCAAACTATTCTCTATACATTTTCTAAGATGCTGCAAGGAGAATTTGTTTAACAAACAAGAGCTACTTTAGTTGGAGATCAATTCATTTATTCTCGTGACCTCAATGTTTGATTCAGAGGTGATATTGTAAGGAGATGTTGAATTCCAGTCACTCTAAGGGGTTAAGTGGTTAACAGACAAAACTCTCGGTAGAGGGTGGGAGAAAACGATGAAAAGAGGGTCGGAAAAGGACTTGGATAATTCAGAAGGTAACAGGCCATCACTCGGTCCAGAAATCATTTTATTCACTCTTCCATGAAAAATCGGACACAAAAAAGGCCCGGTGCACAAAACAACACAGTCTGAATAGAATTACGCGGGAACAAAGAAAAACAGAGTGCAACAACAACGCAGAACAACCAATGTCGCAGCAAGAGTCTAAAAGACTTGGTTCCGTAGCTAGAAGTTTCCTTTCAGGAATTGCTTTCGTAAACTTTCATGGGAATTCGCATTGTTTTGAGTCGGTTTCCCACGACATGATGCTCTTTTAAAGAAGTAGCCAATTTCTACGGATAAACGTCAAAAGACCTTTCTTCCTTTGTACAAAATTCATACGCATAAATATCGATAGAGATATATACAAAATGTTGCGTTAGTTCAAAGTCCCCCGGCATTGTGGAGAACCACACAAACATGGGATTTTCTCGTCCTCGATGGGGAATTTGTAGTCGTAGGTGATTTCTTCATTGACTTCGATATCTCTCTTGGAATAAATGACTATTTTCTTGGCATTCTCTAAAGTGACTATCTTGGCGTAGCAGTTGGGCTGTGGAAAACGAAAGAAAAATAATTTAACATTATATAATAGTTTTGTATGTAAAGTGGCCTCCGTAAAAAGTTTTTTAACGCGGACGTTTCGAGCGTTGCCCTTCGTCAGAGGGAATGAAAAATAAGATCGAAACACACACCGCATAGAACCGCTTGCATCAAAATTGAAGAGCAACCAAGGTCAGGGGCTGGCCCAGGTAAAGACCCCCCACACTCTTCCCTCCAATCCCCCACTGAAGGTACAAACATTGACAAAAACAATAAACATAAGCAATACTACAAAGCAGCCCTCTAAGGTTAAAAAAAGCATTTAAAACGTAAGCTTTTTAAGCTTAGATTTTCAACACTCTAGTTAAGCAAGCTTTCGTGCTAGAGGAACCCTTTGTATTGAACCAGTGTTGCTTTGTGTAGTGAAAAATCATACTGGATGGAGTGATAGTATTCTCTCCTCATAACAGTTCAGTAAAGTCAGTTGACTAGTAGGGCGCACTTCCACTGAGTGTCGCAGAATCAAAACCAAAACTCAAAACAACGGCCAATTAGAACGAAGCAAAATATCACGTGGCACTATTGTGAACGTAAAGTAAAAACAGGCAAAGTGACTGGGACTCGGGTAAACGTGGAAAGCGTAGTCGCGTTTTGTTTCAGTCTTGCATCTGATCGGTTACAACAGCAAAACTTTTTCTTAGACCAAGATCAAAGAGAAAAGTAAAAAGAAACCATTATCCTCCAAGATTGCCTTCGATAATCAATTCAAAATTGCTCTCGGCTGATTTCTCCTCAAAGAGCACTTTTCGATTGAGCGTCATAAAACCAAAACCAAAGTAATCACAACGGCCAATCAGAAGAAAGGAAAATAACTGAAAGAGCCAATGAGAACTCAAAGTAAAAACAACCAAACCGCCTAAAGCGCGGGAAAACGCGGGCGACCAAATCGTGATTGGTATTAGTTTTGCATCTGATTGGTTGAAAGCGAGGCGCGAGTTTTTTTTAACCAATCACATGAGAGAAGTAAAGCAAAACCAATGCATTCTCGGATTACTCTCGACACTCAATTGAAAACCGCTCTAATAAGCTACCTGGGAACTAATAGCGACAGAAAAAGATGATACTTACATCACAGCAGTGGTTAATAAATCGTGCAAAGTTTCCTTTAGTGGTAGCATCAATTATCGTTTCCTGATCAACACGAAACAGGTAACTTGATCCGATTCCCATCTCCTCGTATCTCCGCTCACGGATATCCGCAATGGGCTGTCTGATGATCTCACCGACATATTCTGTTACCATCTCATCCGCTGCAATGTTCTCCATGGCGAAAAGACCCCAGTCGTGGATACCCGACTTAGCGAATCGAAGTTGCTTTTTACGCACCTGGCGACAAATGGAAAGGATATGAAGAGAACTCTTTTGAGCAGTTTTCGATTAGTTGACGTAAAACTAAAACCAGTGTAATCAAAACAGCAAATCAGAGAAAAGGAAAATATCAAAAGGAGCCAACGAGAACGCAAATGTAAAACAAGTTAACTGCTTGACGCACGGAAAAACGCCAGTGACAAGTTGTCATTTGTTGTAAATTTGAATCTGATTGGTTGAGAGGATGGAAAGAGTCTCCAGAACCAATCATAAAACGAAGCAAAGCAAAAACCAAGCAATCCATATTCATTTGATACTCAATTGAAAATCACCCCACACTAAAGAATCCAGCATGAACCACTTACACGCTGACACCAGTATCCGTATTCTCTGTACTGTTCTCTACACATTAAGAATTTGTTTGACGATAAAAAGTTTCTGAAGTCGGCGATGCTCCGTAAGGAGAAGTAAGATTTTGAGCACTGAAAGAGGTTACAGGCTAAAATTTTATTTCTTTTTTTTTTTTTCCGAGGTTTGAATCCAAAGGAAAGCTATCAGAGAAAAACTGCAGCGACTAATTTTAAGGTGTTGAAAAATACAAGGCTACTTGCAATAAAAAAAAAAACTACATGTTAAGGAGTTTCCAATTTTCAAGTTTTGACTAAGTCATCGCAATAGGGGCCGTTTTTTGAGCGTTCAGTAAAACTAATAGGAGATGCATGGTTCAGAAACCACTTGCTTGAAGTGTTAGTTACGTATTTCTTACCATGAGCTGATTAAACTTGAGCAAGTCACCAAATTCCTCATTACACACCGCTGACTGTAATCTTCTTTGTATCGCTCTGTGTTCACGTGACTGTTGTTTAGCCTTGTTGCCGTCTGTTTTCTGAGGATAACGGCAAAAAAAAAAGTTTATCACTAAAGCGTTCCTTAGACGATGCGATTCACTATTTTGGATGATGGCATGTATAGAAGCTAAAGGAACAGACGTCAAAACAAACAAGAAGCACGTTGGCACCACAGCCGTATAAATATCAGCTTTTCATTACACAGCTCGAGGCTTCTCGTTTAAGTGTTGGGAAACAATAACCAAAGCAATGACAGCGACAAATCATAACAAAGGTAAATGATCCAGTGAGCACTACAGAGGCCGGGCGATAGTAACATGACTCTAGTAGGAAGACATCGGGAAATTTGTTAAAACATTGTCTATACCCTTCAACTCCCAGAAGTGATTCACATGCAACTTCTCCCTTCAACATCCATACATTATACAGCAAACAGGTAATGAGAATACGAAAACTTATCAGGTAAAAGTTGTAAGCTTATTCTAACACCAAATTCTCGTAACTAATCAATAAAATGTGCAAAAGCTTAAGGGGAGAATTAACGATCAGATCTTGGGAGTGAAAGGGTTAAACTATAGCCCGACGAATGAGAATCAATGATTAAAGGGGGTAAGAAAGTTTCTACAGAAACTGTGGCGCTGCGTCGGTGGGAGAGTATGACCTGGTAATTTGGTATTATCAACTGAGTTGATAACGTAAATTAGCCACTGTAAACAGTTTAAAAGCTGACGTTTCGAGTGTTAGCTCTTCATCGGAGGGGTGAAGGAATTATAGGTTGTGAGTATGTGTTTGTACGCAGAAAATGGAGCTACGCTATTGGCGGGAACATGGTAAAGGGAAAAACAAGAATGAATTAGTTGAATTAAAAGCGCTCGTTAACACCGCAGGCTGAAAGTAACGAGAGAGTGAGAGTACCTGTTCCTCAACCGTAACGTTGGCCTGACACTGTAGCTGTCTTCTCTGAGCCTGTAGATATTTAGCCTTTTCTTTGATGTCAATCTTGTAAAAGCCTTCCGCTCGGGCACATCCAGTCACATGTACACGTACACCGTGTTCTGTTTTCAGTTTTCGACGTCCTTTTGTTACACTTTGAGCGGTCGGTGAGGTTGGTTAAAGAAAATGCCAGTACTCTTGCAGAGCACTTTTCTAACAAGCGGCTTAAAACCAACACAAACTTGAACAAAACGACTATTCAGCTCAAAACGTAACAAAAGAAGCAGCTAATACGAGCTCAGAGTGAACACATGAAGACGGCCCAGAGTGCAAAGAGTGTCAAGTTGTCTCACACGAGTTACAAAAAACCAAACAAGCCAGTGAGACACCGTGTTTTAGAGGCGTAGAACATTTTTGGTAAAGCCCAAAACAAAATGGCAAATAATCAGGTTACTTGTACATGAATAAGCTATGTGTTCGTCAAGTCTCGAGTTTTCCCGCCTTTCCCTTACTTTCGTTTCGTTTTTTCTTTCGGTCATTTTGCGAGACAGCGGTTGTTTCTTTTGCTTTCCATGGAAATTTTGAGCGGGAAATTGGCGCGCGGGCGGCAAAAATTGATCCTCTGGCGCACGCTTTGACCCATGTGTTTCCGCTGTGTTGGTTTCTACTCAGTTCCAAAAATTCATTTAATGCTTTTAAGTTAATGCATCCGAAAATGTCTAAGGCAAGACCCAATTGAGCGCGTCTAAACTGAGTGTCGGGATCACAGCGTCTACTCAGAACAAAGTAATTATCAAAAGGGACCAATAACATCTCAGTAAAAAAAGCGCTGGAAAACGCGGGTGACTTAAATTGCAATAGGTTTCTCGCCTAGCATCTGATTGGTTAAGACAAAACCGAAGCGTTCCCGGATTACCTTCGACATTGAATAAAAAAAAACTGTTTTAGTTACAGTTATACTGAATTTAGTTAAAAAGGATATGTGGGTGACTACTCCAGTGTGCGTCCACGACTGAATCAGATCCAACCTGCTGAAGCTGCTCAAAACCAACTTTTAGATAATAGCAGTCTTCTGCGTCGATGCCCACTCTCTGAAATTCGTACACAAGCTCATCATCGGCTTCAAATGACCGCACGGGAAACTGGGGCTTAGGAGAGGTAAGTTCAGGCAGCAAGGATAACGTCGAGTTAACAGTCACTACGTCAACAATAGGAGACTCAGCGAGTCGTCTGTCCTCAGGGAGGGGAGTGTCTATAATATTTTTGTCGTTGAACAATTCAGCTTCTTCTTCTACAGACTCTGGTGGTAGTTTCTCTGGGATAGTTAATCCATACGGGTGATCAAGTTCAACAAGCGAAACAGCCAATGGTTTGTCAGGGGAAAGTAAAGGCATTCTTTCCTCCGAGTAATCGAAGTTTTGGTCCGTTTCAGGGAATTGTTCCTCTTCATGGGAAAACATATAATTTTCACGTTCAATCGTCTCTTTTTCTCGAAAACCAATCACAGGTGCACGTAATGGACTTTTAACCTCCGTTTTCTCGAATGAATCGTCTTGTTTCATAGTTATATCTTTTTCTTCTGAGAGGAAATGACTGCTTTCTTCGATATTCCTAGTATCTCGAGTATCTGACGTTCTCAACGGCGGTTGCTCTACTTTCATTACAAGTTCTCCACTATTTACGCTTGAATTGTCTTTCTCTTCCACAGATGAAGTTCTGCTTTTGCTCAACGTATCTTCATTTTTGAACAAATCAGGCACAATGTGAGCGATGTGGAAAGAGCGATACGTCTCGGTAGGTGCAGATTCTCCCACCTTGTAATTCATTCCTTTTGAGACAGTCTCTAGCTCATTTGTTTTTAATATTTCTCCACTCTTATAACTGAAAGACTCTGGTTCCCTAGTTTCCTCAGCGTTCATCGAGTTAGACAACATTTCGTTTGAGGATTCCTGATCTTCGATAAAGACATCATCTATCAAGAGAAAAGCAGGACAGTATGCGGCATTAAGAATATCTGTTATCAAAATTAATAATTGTTTTTGAGACCTCTAGATTCAAGAACGTGTAAAAAGTGATCATCTACGCGCATTTTGATTGGTTCATACCAGAGATGACGTCATCTGTGATCGCTAGATGACATCATCATTAACATCATTTTGCTTTTTTATCTTATTAAACGAATAGAATCCGTGTTGCTGTGGCTCTGTACAGTAGTAGATCACAGAAAAACGTCAAAATATTGTCAGAACATCAGTGTCACTTTTTTGTTCTTACCACAAATTCACATCTTCTGTGATCTCTTACTGTACAGAAGCGAGGCAACATTGAATCGATTTGTTACTTAAAGCAAATAAGTGCCAATAAAACAAATTTCAAGACTTCTGTTTGAAAAGAACCATTCTGTCCCGTTACCTTGATGTTTCTCCATGTGAACTACTTCCATTTTCGAGTCTTTATCAATTTCCTGCTCCACACCCATGTTCACTTCCAGCTCTTGTTGTTCTTTGTCAATGACTTGCCTTGTGTCGTCCTCACTTTCTGATTCAGTTTCCTCTTCACTTTCACTTTCGCTCTCATCCCCAGAGCCCTCTCCGCTTTCCACCTCTTCTTCTTCATCTTCACCATCAGACTCACTCTCGTCGCTGCCTGACTCACTGCTGTTGCTACTACTGGAGTACAATGTATGGTACAATGACGAGCCTGTGCTTGGTCGTCGCTCATCAGCTTGAGAAAAGAAAAACACAAAAGTAAGCATTAAGAGCACTTTTTTTTAGGTCAAAAAAGGAAAAAGTAAGATATCAGGTATTAGCATTTTCAAACGTCAATCAAATTTCAAACATCTAAATGAAGTGAAATACAAGGTGAAAGAAACTGTGGTGCTACGTCGGTGGGAGAGTATAACAGGGTAAGTTATCATTATCAACTGAGTTGATAACGTAAATTGGCCATTGGAAAGGGTAACAAAGTTCACGTTTCGAGCGTTAGCCTTTCCGATTCGCTCTGACGAAGGGCTGACGCTCGAAACGTCAGCTTCTAAACTCTTTACGATGAGTAATTCAAGTTATCAACTCAGGTGATAATACTCAATTAGCCTGTATCATTTAGTTCTCAGGAAAAAAGCAAACATACATTCTCACGAAAATTGTATGTTTCCTGCAATCCACAAGGCGAGTTTGAGGAAAGGACCTCTGTAGCCACTGTACTTACTCTGTGCCCGCCATGAATTAAAACAGTTCCTTGTATTCAGGAACACATTATTAATATGACGGGACAGCTTTTTTGCTCCAGAAATTCCATTACCTTCACTGCTCCTCACTATTGTAGCCTTCGGAGCAACGTCCAAACTGTCATCAAGCTGAAGTGGCGAATGGCTCCGCTCCTCTTCTTCGAGCCTACTGATGGTGCGTGGACGCCTGTCCAGACTAGAGCTGTTCTCCAAGTTTGTCTCTATTTCTGAGTCTACATCATCCAAAATGCGTCTCTTTGTCTCTAGCGGGGGGATGTCTGAAGATTCCGTGTTACTACGTTTCCTTGAGGAACTAATCAATTGTTCTGTCTTTGGAGGCTCTGGTGCTCGTTTCACTTTAAATGAAGGAAGTTTGGGAAGTGAGGCACGCAATCCAAGAAGCATGCTGTGTGATCTTTCAAAGGGACTAGGTCCTATTGTGGAAGCTGCGGTGCCAGAATTTGATGGAAGACCAACTGTGGCTGGTGGAGTTTGGCACATTTGTAGATTTCTAGCGGTAGTTGCAGTTGTGGGTGAAGCAGTCTAATATTGATTAATGGAAATGGCATTTTAGGATCTGTAGTAAATACCATCATCGTCATCATTGTCATCATTATCATCATTAAAATTATCATTCTGAATTCCACCACCCATTATCAAGTTTATCACTCAATTTCATTAACCCTTTAACTCTCAAAGGTGATTGACATGTAACTTCTCCCTACATTATCCATACATTAAGCAGCAAACAGGTAATGAGAATATGCAAACTTCTCAGGTAGCAGATGCTCTGTCAATTGAACACCAAATTCTTGTAACTAATTTACAAGGAAATATGTAGCAGCTACAGGGGAGAATTAGCAATCAGATCTTGGGAGTTAGAGGGTCAAACAGCACTATCATTGCTCAGGAGATTAAAAAAAATGTGTGCTCTCTGTCTGATTGGCAGAAAATTACTTCATTTCAATTGCAACAGTTAGTTACAAAACTGAATACTAACCTTCAAACTGACCAATGCCAAAATTATTAATGTTTTTAAAGGGGTTACATGTAAAATAAAAGAAAATCCAGTGGTCCTCAGTCTGATAATCACCTGAGCAATTGGATGTATCTTAAATAAATTTGTTACAGCCTTTACTTTAGATGAAATATCCATTCAGTTGTGGCTCATCTCAAAGAACCTTAAAGATTTTATTCTAAGGTTCAAAAGGCTAAAAAGGGCAAAATACTACCTTAAATAATGGGTAAAATCATGACAATGGCTAGCAAAAGAGGTTAACTTAACTACTAACTACAAAAACTTTAAGCAGCCACAAGCAACATACCTTTGGTTTGGTCTGATTATCCCACCAAGATTCCAAAGCTTTGAATGCAGATGCCTCCACAAGTTTCTTAAAGATATCTCTCTTGAGAACAGCATCCAGTTCAACACAAATTTTTCTATAAACTTCATCAATGATCAAAGCTCTCCTTGTCTTTTTCTGCTCTACTTTGGGAAAACCATAACTTCCACTGTTAGGAAAACCAGCATTAGGGAACTGAGGTGCTCTCCGAGTGTCATAGAATCCAGAACGAGGTATGGCTGGAGGTGGCACTGGAATAGGTGGGCCAGAAGGTGGCAGCACAACTGGAGGTAGAATGGGTCTTGCAGGAGGTAGTGGAGGACGCATGTTGGGATGTGGGACAGCACCAGGGACAGGGAGGGGAGGGGGAGGAACAGTAACAGGACCTATGGGTGGAGGGGGTACTCTGGGGTTGAAGAATGGAGGGGGTGGTATGGTGGGATTGAACATTGGAGGGGGGTAAGGTGGGAAGACAACATTTGGAGGTGGAACAGAGATACCTTTTGATTTGGGGAGGGGTTTGCTCTCAGGTTCAGTCACTTCTAAAGTGTCTTCATTTGAGCTAATGGATGATAATGACATAGCATCATCATCTCTCTCATTGTTCACATCTTCACCCTCATTGTCATCCTCATCATTTCCTTCAATGTCAGAGTAAATGTCATGTGCAGCTGGTTCTGCCGACACATGGACAGGGGAATCATTACATTCCACATGGCCTGTCCTTTCAATAGCTGGAGAGTTAAAGGGGGATATGTCCTCTGTAAGTGGTAAGTTCTTCTCCTGTAATAGGGTGGCTCCTGACTCTGAAGATACTGCAACATCAGCTGCCACTTCAGGTGTTGACTTATCACTGGAAAAAGACACTGTCCTCCAACCACTGATCTCCTCATCTCCATATTCCTCATCAACGAGTGAATGATTCAGGTTCTCAGGAGTATCCATTTTAGAGTCTGCAGCAGTAAGTTGAACACTTTTCAAGACTATTTGTATCTTTTTCGCTTTAGCTCCATTGCTTTGGTTTTCATCTGGGACAGTTTCTGAAAGTTTCCGCTTCTTCACAGCATTCTGAGCGGCTTTGATTTTACTTCTATTTATGTCTAGCTGAACTTCATGAGCAACATCACGTTCATCTCCAGGAGGTAAGGGTTCTTCATCAGAGCAAGCTTCCACACCAACTGTATATGCATCCTCAGCATATCTGTGTACAGCTTTTGTTTCCTTTAGTGAAGTACAAGCTACTACAGATGAAATAATCTCAGCAGCAGTTGCTGCTTTTGCATCACTTTCAGTAATTTTTGAATCTGATTTTAATTTCTTGTCTTTTTCATCAGCAACATTATTTTTTGATTGAGGATCAACACCTTCCTGGCTGGTAAGGTTTAGAGCAGAATCGTACTGAGAAATACTTTCATGATCATTATCTTTGTCTTTCAGTCTGGGATCCCTGATTTTGAGATCAGTTGATGTATTTTCTCTGTCTTTGCCTGAACCTTTAATATCACCATCAATCAGCCTATGTTCCTTACTTTCGATGGTTCTCGCATCTGAGCTTCCCACTTCATTGGGCCATTCTTTTGCTCTCTTGTCTCTTATGTGAGTATCAGAAGTTTCCTGATTTCTTCCTCGTGATCTCAAATCACGACTGTGGTCATCTTCCCCATTAAGTCCATCTTTATCTCTTTCATTATGTCTTGCATTTTTACTTAGCACCTCACCAATCTCACTATCTCTGTCCCGCAGTCTAGGATCCCGTGGTCTTGCCTCTGCCCATCTACGATCATCCCCTCTCCTTGGACTTGTGCTATACCTATCTTTTCTATACTTGTGTTCATCTTTCTCCCAGCGGCCTCCACTTCTGCTCCTGTCATAATCATCCCATCTGTAATTGTCTCTGCGATCAACCTTCTTCTCAAAATAATCATCTCTCTTATGTCGGTAATCTCCATACTTATCAAACCTACGATCCTCCTTGTACACATGTTCCCTATCATACGATTCCCCAAGCCTGTCAAGGTCCCTGTGTTTGTCTCTGTGTCTCTCTTCCCGTTCCATCTGTTTCCTTTTTTCCCACTTTGAGTAGCTTTCACTTCTGTCAATTCTGGGTGATCGACTTTTGCTAGGAGGTGAAGAAGTACGCATTGACTCCCTTCTGAATGATTCAATTAGTTTATTTGTTGTTTTTGCATTGTCGTCCTTGCCTTTGTGAATAGGCACTGATCGTTCTTCATCTCTACCAGGAGAAAACACAGGATCTGGAGAGATGTCTTCATAATTTAAGCAAGAGGAAGACTGATCCGATTTCTCTTTAGGGGGTGGTGGTGGGGGCTCCTTTGAGGATACTCTCTCCACTGGTGGAGGAGGTGGATTTGATGATGGTGGTGGGGGAGGTGGGGGTTCATCATTTCTGTGGAAAACACGGGGTGGTGAGACAGGTTCAAATGTAGACTGTGCAGACGATACTCTTTGAGAAGACAAGAAAGCTGATCCACTTTGAGCTAATTTTTTGACAGCTGGTGAGGTTCCATCCCAAGATGCAGTAAGTGACTTTGCCCGGGTATCTCCTTGTAGTCGTACAGATGTTGCAGGGCTTTTCCTCATCATGAGTGAAGGTGATAGCACTGAACTATCTGTAGATGACTGTGATATTACGGAAGGAGATGGAGTAGGGATGTGTGCTGAAGAGTAACTATCGTGACCTGAGTTCCGTCTGGCAGGTGGGTGTTTACCATGAACTTCATGTCCTGAAATCAGAAAAGTAAAAATTGTTACTTCTCTCTTCTAGCTGCTACAAATTTCCTTTTAAATTGGTCACGAGAATTTGCTGTTCAATCAAGATAATATCTTGTACCTGATAAATTTGAGTAATGTCGCCACCTGTTTGTTGAATAATGTATGGATACCATAGGGAGAGGTTACATGTTAATCACTTCTGGGAGTTAAAGGGTTAACTACTTCACAACCAGGAGTGACCAAAAAATAATTTCTCCTTTCAGAAAGGATGTACTGTAAATCAAACAGGTGATAAGTACCAAGAAACCTATCAACTATTGGCTCCTTATTGATTAACCCTTTAACTCCTAGAAGTGATCAACATGAAACTTCTCCCTTTAATATCCTTACATTATCCCGCAAACAGATAATGAGAATATACAAACTTATCAGGTAGAAGTTGTTAACTTGATCTTACACAAAATTCTCAGAACTAAATTTACAAGGAAATGGGTAGCATGTAGAGGGAAGAATTAACAATCAGATCTTGGGAGTTAATGGGTTAAATACCAAATCCTCAGAACTAGCTCTGGTTGCAATGCCTGTCAGACAGTAAGGAAATTACTATTAAGATCTTGGGATTGTAAAGGTTAAATTTGACAAATAAAGAATCACGGAAATGAATTTATGGACTCATAAAGAGTTCTTCTTTACTCTGGTTGTCTTTGTTCACAATCTTACCCCCCTCCCCCTCCCAAAAAAATACATTCTATCGAGTCAATACTAACATCATCAAATAATTTCTTTGGTTTTATGATCTATGCTGGGAAATCATTCGCAGTTCACAGATTACAGCCTTAAGTCTTCATAACATATAGAAATGGATCAAATTTTATGTTAGACTCTTTTAACCCTTTCACTCCCAGTAGTGACCAAGACAGAATTTCTCCTTACAATATCAATACAATCTCAAGTAGACAAGTGATGAGAATAAAGAAAAACATCCATTAGTGGATTATCATTTGATTCAATACTAAATTCTCCAAACTAAAATTATAAGCATTGTCCCAAAGATCTCATTAACAATTCCCCACACTGTCTGCTAAATAATTCATATGATTTCTATTTGGAAAATTGGGAATTGGATCAACTAGTGATACCCTAATTGCTTTTTTGGTTCTTCTTTCTCATTAATTGTCCGCTTGATATTGTATTGGTAATGAAAGAAGAAATTCTGTCTTGGTCACTCATGGGAGTTTAGCCCTACCCCCTTTAACACACAAGTTCAAATTACTGGCTAATTACAATTCTTGTAAGAACAAAAGTGTGTGTTGCACATCCCACAAGGTTTTAACCCTTCACAACTTTACATGTGTATGCATATTCTCCAAACTGTTCTCAATACATTTACTAAGGTGCTGACAGGGAGAATTTGTTTGATACTTAAGAGCTTCTAAAGCTGATGATCTCCCAGCCTTAATGTGTGATTAAGAGGTAAAATTGGAAGGGGAAATTAGATGCAAGGAGTCAAAGGGTAATGCCTGACAAGAACATCATATGAAATTTTCTCCTGTGTTCTAAACCCTCTCTGACAGTACAAGACAGTATCTGTAAAGCTTCTAAATTAGCACAGTTGTTAAAATTAAACAAAAAAACTACCACATAATTCTAAAATACAAACTCAAATATCTTATGTTAAATATGATAACAATTTCTAACTTTCAGTGGTCAAAAATTAACTTCAAATACTACTCATGACGAAATGTGATGAAGAAGGAGAAAAAGAAACAGAGACATCATCCACAGAAAGAGGAAAGGTAAACAAAAATTTGACCTGATTTAATTGATATCACCAGTTACATCTTAGTTAACATGACGTGGTTCGTTTATCAGCTTTTAGACTTTCGAATACCTTGTACTTTATTCTTACAGTCACTGCTTGAGCCATGGAATTGGGATTAGAAGCAGTTAATCCTATTTTAAACCTTTTTACTCAAAATTGATCTGTGGCAATACAATGATCTCTCTGTTTTCCCTTAAAAAAACATTACAAAATCAAACACCCAAATAGCAGCATGAAATGTCACGAACTCTCCCATAATGCACTCGAGTACGATGGATTGAAATGTACAACTGTCACCGGAAAACAATAACATTAAACGTAATTAATGTTAACACGTCAAAAAAAAAACATTCAACTCTACAGCTGATAAATTTTGTCAGATAATACGACTTTATCGCGTGCAGTAGATTACCTTTGATGCCGATTTCCATATGAGCCTTTATGATGTTCCCCATTACAGAAGTATGGTCTAGCTTAGAAACTGCCATTTTAGCAGCGGTAGTGGTTTCAAAAGTCACACGACCCTTTCCGGTGTGTTTTTTTGTTTGTGGATCATAATATATTTTGATGGCCTCGATTCGTCCATAACGTTCGCAAATTTCTTGTAGAAATTTCTTATCCACGTTATCATTCAATCCCGAAAACAGAACTTCACGTTGCGGAGGAATTCCCACATACCATTTGTCCACCTAATCAAGAGGGAATCACCACAAACAATAAGTTCTAAAATTAGAAGTGGCAATCGTTTTTAAATTAAAATTGGCCAGGCAAAAACAATAATGCCCTATCGGTAAATTGATCACAAATTGATTACAAAGATGCTCTAAAACCTCGTGGAAAGATCTCTCTCGGTAAATGACTCCTAAACAAACCTTGAAATTAGGAACAGGTAAATCGGCTTTGTTGTGGGTCCATATTCTTTTCCTCCTGGAGCGAGGATCCTTTGGGACAACCGGCGGTTGCTGGAAGAAGTAAAACAAGTTTAGAAAACTTCAACGCTAGTGTGTACAACAAGATGCAAGATCAAGGCACTTTCGTACACAGTCGCTTTGCTTACCCCTGGAAAGACTCCACCGTATCGATAGATTTTAGCATGTCCTTTCTTTATGGCGGGATCAATCAAAAGTTTGAAATCTTCTCGCTGAACATTCTCTTCAGATCGGCCCAGTGGTCTCGACACACCGTTCACTACTGAGGCAAAGAAAACTCATTACAATGGTAGAGAGACTGACACGACGATTTTTCAAAAATCATCGGATTTCGAGCCGGTTTACGAAGTGCAAATATGCATTATACATGCCTGGCTTCTCTCCATAGCTAGGACGTGATTGTAAACGACTGTTGTTTTCGGGAGGTTTTGCATCAGTAGAGGCATGCTTCCTTGAAAGAACTGGTGGTTCATAGGACATTTCCGCTCATCGTCTAAGCCATGGAGCTGTCTCTTTCCGTATAAACCTGTTTCAAGCCCTTTTAGACTTGCACTATCTTTCGGTTCTCAGCGAGAGCGATTACCTTCACCTAAGAAAACCACACGCGTGACAAATATTCCCATCACTCATTTCGAACAGGTAAGTTTCCGTCATGAAGTCTTCCCATGAGTCATTGCAAAGATGAATATGTTCATGGTTCCTGATATTTTGTCCCAGTGAATACTTGAAACTTTTTTTTCAGTAGCAATTCTTCAACTGCGCGAACCGTCCTTTCTTCTCTCTATTCTGAGCTACAGAGAGGTTCAAGACTTTATATCACGCACACAGACAAGCCTAAACAATTAAAATCAATTTTATTCTTGACAAAGCATTATTTGTGTGTCATGAGGCAAAACGTTCAACCAAGATTAAAACTAATTAGAAGTGGGGATCAAAAATTAAAAATTTTTTCACAGTTCAAACTTCAGGAACAAATGCAGACTGAACACGTGACCCTGTCCGCCATTTTTCTCACGTGGCACCTCCCTCTCCAAGCCTCGTTCCAATAACCACACCGGCTGCCAACGAGTCCTCCATGTTCGGCTGTACCAAGCACTGACTAGGAACTCGATTTCTACGTTTTTTTCTCTCTCTGTAGGTGCCTTCTGGCCCCTTCGAATAGCCCAGACTCTTGCTCGACGTTTATTGACGGAATTAAGAGAAAATGGCGCAGCTATTGCCGATTAGGTTTCAAGAACATCTTCAGGTTAGTCAGCGAGTTTGATCTATGCAATATATGTAGTATTCTTTCGCTCTTTTGAGCGCTTGGTTCTGTCACACGCTGTTTACATCGAATAGCAATGAAGCTTTCTACCTTAATGCAATTATTATGTTATTTTTGTTTATGCCAGTATGGAAGCTACATACTAAAATGCCATTGATTGCCTTTGGCTTGGGGTAAATGTTCATAGGGAGCTTTCGTGTCGGAAACAGGAACAAGTTCTTTGCATGTGCATTTACGGCTACTCTGCCATGAATTGTTGGAATGAAACTTTTTTGGTATATTTTCTATCTTCTTCAACCTTTTGTTTCGCTGCGTGGTAAATTTGTGGATAATTTGAGAGATCTTGTCACCTCAAAGTTCTTTGAAAGTGGGTATGTCCCGTACTCTGATTACCCATCTGATGAGTTTACGATCTTTATGTCAGCCGTCTCGGCTCCAAGTTAACCCTTAAAGCGTGATAAACTACGCGTTATTTGTGGCGTTTATCGTTTGAATAGCACCAAAATGTGGATCAGTGCGGAAGCAGTATTCTTATCTTTGCCAAATAGCCGCTTACAAGGTCTTCGTTCGCTGGAGTATTCTAAAGATCGACCAAATATCGCCGTGTCACTAACCTGAATGTAGAATGGAAATTTACTAAATTACGTTCTTTCAACGAAGTACTGCGTTCAAATTTTACATTATCAAGGTAAAAAACCTATTATTAAAAGTTTGTACGATTTTATGAGGAAAATGTGGTTAAATTGCATGAACATACACATATATTTGCTACGCGGTCGATTGAAACAAATGTGTTCTGGAACTTGTCCATTCAAATAATTGCTTGTAGAAAATTCTAAGTTTGTAACCAAAAACTAGATAACATTAATCTTAAGTTGTAATTCAAGAAGGCCTGTGCCATTCAAAGTTTCTACTTCCTGTTAATTCAAGCGGCGCACAAACATTTCGAAGTAAACCATAATTTAGAAGAAAATGTACATCATACTGAAAGCTAAAGGATACTCTTTAATGCCAAGCGACCAGAATTTGCTTGATAGTGTCCTAAAAACACCAATGCGTTTGCCTTTAATTGGTTTTGATTTTGTGTGACATATTTATATGTTTATTTTTAATGTTTAGTAAACGTTTCTTGTTCCAATTTTTGTTTGGGGGCATTCAAATTTTTTATTCTCAGCTGTAACTAAAGTATTAAAATCCTTCATGTCTTGCTTCACTTGTGCTGTCAGGCAAATCACATGGTGACCGGTGATACATATAGTTAACACAATTCATGTCCAAATACTCAGAATCAAGGAGAAATTTGACTTCTGTTGAAACTTTACGAATTTCAGTGAAATCCAAGAGCTGTAGTGATATCCATTCCTACATGTGTTGTCTTTTATTGTAATGAAAAGAAGTTCTAATATGCTGCAAATCATTTATCTTCTATAGCTGTGTATGTGATTGATTTCTCATTAATTAATTTAAGGATATATAATCGTTTACTTGCTTGAAGTGTTTTTTTTTCTTCTATGTTTTGTGTTTGTTGAGGAATAAGGATGAATATAGAATTTTGAAAAGTGAAACATGAAGCACAACCAAAATGGAGACATTAAATGTAGATTTTGATATTGAAAAAAAAAGCTGATATAAGTGTGCGGTTTATTTTTGCTATTTAGGTCCAATATAATGCAGCCTCTTGTGTTAATTTTGTATACTGTAGGTAGATACATTTAAAAAAAAAATGCAATTTCTTTTGTGACATTTGTTTGCCTTCATAGTTTGCAGAAGGATGTTTTTCTACATAGCATGAAGTTTGTTTATTTCTTATAGGGTTACTGTGAAAGGTTACATTTTGTTTGACGGATTCTCCATAATGTTGTACCTTTTCTTTAGCAGTTGTCACTAAAAATCTTTATTCAATTTTCAGCTGCAAAGTGTTGGCATCAATGCTGCTAACATCGGCTTCTCCACCCTCACCATGGAGTCCGATAAATTTATTTGTGTGAGGGAAAAGGTTGGAGAAACAGCCCAAGTAGTTATTATTGACCTAGGTGATGCAAACAATCCAACAAGGAGACCAATTTCTGCTGACTCTGCTATTATGAATCCCAAATCAAAAGTTATTGCTCTAAAAGGTAGGAACATAAAGTATATTCTTAGAGAAAAGTTAGCTGTTGATGTTATTTAGTTTAGAATAGCAAAGGGAGGGTCCTGATCCTGTGTCACCTATGGATTTGAGAAAAATGCACCTGCCAGGTGTACTTTAAAAACAGTCTTTCACATGTCATTAAATAAATGTAAAACTGGAAACTTTAAATCTCACCTTACCTTGCCCATCTGTAAAAATTCATGCACCCCATATTGACTTAGGGCTTAATCACATCTTATGTATAAACCTTTTGCAACCTTCTTAGTTGGCTTTCCCCTTTTTTGCTTTTTACTTAAAATTATTTCATACATGTCCAAGACTCTTGTTTTTTTTATTTTGTGTCCATTTCTGGCAGGAAGAACACTTCAGATCTTTAACATTGAGATGAAGAGTACGGCTTAATCATGTCTCATGTATAAACCTTTTGCAACCTTCTTGGTTGGCTTTTCCCTTCTTGCGTTTTTCTTGAAATTATTTCTTACATCTTCAAGACTCTTGTTTTCTTTATTTTGTGTCCATTTCTAGCGGGAAGAACACTTCAGATCTTTAACATTGAGATGAAGAGTAAAATGAAAGCGCATACCATGGTGGAAGATGTCACTTTCTGGAAGTGGATCAATGTTAATACTCTTGCCCTTGTCACCGAGACCACTGTCTACCATTGGTCCATGGAAGGTAACCAGTAATATTTACTTCTACAGTTACACTCATTTTCAGGGAACACTATCCTTTTCAGGCTTACTTACAGGGACTGTCACACCATTTGATTGAATAATTTATCCTTACAGATATCAATGATTGATTGATTTATGAGTCATTACTCCTGTTGTAAGATGTTTTTTTAAGTTAACAAAGAATACTAGTTTTATCTTGGTATGCATTTGTGGTATACGGTTTGTTGCTTATTTTTTGTTCTAAATGTTAAGTCAATAATTTATAAATTTCTTAGCTGTAATAAAAAAATCTGACATAATATTTAATAATTATATGGTACTTAATTCCCCATCAGGTGATTCTCAACCTTACAAGATGTTTGACCGTCATTCTAGTCTTGCTGGATGTCAGATAATTAATTACAGAACAAACCAAGATGCCACATGGCTGCTTCTAATTGGCATTTCAGCACAGGTACACACTAAAAAGCAAAGAGCATATCAGTCATTATGCTATTTGTGAAACACAATCTTCCTAATTTATAACACTGTTTGTCTGCCTTTTTGTGTGCTGGCTCTTGAGGCAAAATAGATTTCTTATGCTTTTAAAAATGTTTGTTTAGTTTGTTTAATGTGATCGTTTCATTGACATTAAGTTCATGTAAAATTATTTTCTTGATTTCCAATTTATTTTGACAAAGTAGCTCAGATTTTCACAATTCAATGTAATTAAATGATAATGGACTTACCGTCTTTCTTCACCTATAAGCTGAGCGATTTTTCAGTATTTGACACAAAAGTTTGAAAATTTTTTCACAAGAAACGGGGTTCGGCTTATAGCCGAGGGTTTGGGATTCAAAACAATTACAAATTTAATGTTAATGCAAAATGACCGTAAATTTCGTGACTGCAGCGCTCTTTACGTGATGTGCTTTTAAATTGACATGATAACAACGTATTTCTGACCACCAATCAGATTCTTTGCTTCCCACGCATTGAAAGACGATCTCACTCAACTCGGCAAAAACTCTCCTCATCGCACATTACTAATAAAATATTTGGTCTCTAATGTGAAAGTCACTCCATCGCTTGCTCGTCTAGTTCGGGACACTTGGGAGTGAAACAGCCTATTTTTGCTCGTTTTGCCGAAATCTTAAGCTTGCCAGAAAGAATAGTCGCCTAGTCTCGTCTCCAGCGTTGCACCATGGACTCGCTAAGTCCATAATCTCGAGCGATTTCCGAGCTGTTTTCTACAGCTTCGGCTTCCGCGATAACTTTTATCCTGAAAGCTATATTATACAAAAAGCGGCGTGCTACTGGCATGATGAAAAAAATAAGTGATGAAAGCGATACTCGATTGAAATGTTTGTCAGGCTACAGTAACTGTTGTGTTTCTGCAGTCGTGTAGTAGTATTTACATCTTCACTGATTCGCCTTTTTTTCTTTTGGGTTTATTCTCATTCATTAGCTTTTGTGTTCATTGATCCATTTCCCAATTTTTTCCGTGAGATTCGCACACTCGAATGGCCAG